ACTGTGCAAATAACTAATACACAACTTGAAGAAGAGTAATTTTAAAGACCCTAACATAGCTTGGAGACTATTTGATGTGCAGCAGCATGAGGTATACTCATCACAAAGTACTGAAATCAGTACTGATGTATGTCACAATTAGTATGAGTGTAGGATGGTGTTGTATATCGTTGTTATAAGCCACCAAAACATGTTAGTCAACTTTTGATGCAGCTAATGTTTCCCAGACAGGAGATGTTTTGGACCTTACATAGTGCAGGGATTGGAGGTCACCAGGACATGCTGTAAATGAGTGGATGTACTTTTTACTGGCTCTGTGCACGTAATGACATTAAGAGGTGATGCATGCACTGCTCAAAGAAAAAATTGGCCATTTCAGGGAAATCTCTTTCAGAGAATTGCAGATTTTCTTTTGTAGACAATTTCACAAGATACAGCTGGTATTCTGTTGAAACTGTTATTGATTACTTTACCAATATGGCCAAAGTTTATCTGATGGTCAATGTATTAGCTCAGTGTATCACTACTATATTAGCTGATAATGTGATTGGATAAATTTAAATGGATCAAGAATACAACTTCAACAACCAGTTGTTTGCAGAGTTGTGCACTTTACCATATCATCCTCAATCTGATTATATGGAGTCAAACAGAAGCCTTATAAGTTTGTGGACTCTGAATTATCTCTTTAGAATGATTGTATACTGTTTGTCATAATGGCTTATGATTTAACTGAACAACAGTCAAATTGCTATTCCATGAATGTTATATTTGGACAAGTACAGATCCCAGTTGATATCTAATATGTGGGCCTCTTCTTAATATAAATCTACTTCAGTGTCTACAGGAGTTTGTGAACTTGCAGAAGTTTTGCTGGTTATGAACAGAATTTTCATATAAGTAGTTAAAGTGGCTGTCCGTCAAAAGGGATGTTAAGGAAAAGTAAATCATAGGAGAATAAAGTTTGAGCTTTGTAGGTAACTAGGTTTAGCTGCAATATGTATCTTCAGCATTAAGCATCTTGACTCTGATTGGACTGGCCCATATCTCACATTATCAGCTCATTGAGATAAACAGTAGTTGTGTGGTAAGTTTAGCTGTAATATGTACCTTCAGCATTAAGCCTCTTGACTCTGGTTGGACTGGCCCATATCTCCCTTTATCAGCTCGGTGAGATAAAATGTGAACAGTAGTTGTGTGGTGTATGCAATTACATTAAACATGTTGACAAGTTGAATGTTTGTTACTGATGAGACTCTTGAGAACTGGTTTCTTCAGGTATCAGAAGTAGACAGATTTACTCTGACAATGACATGAGCATAGCATTTAATGATCTTGAATTAGCTGCTGTGTGTGACCTAGTATTGTGATATATTGGACTTTAGTTGGATTTGAATGTGTGACATAGACTCAATCTTTTCCGTCTTTTGTTGAGTGAAAGCACAGTCCTTTCTGTTTCTGTATAATCAATAAAGTCTTCTCCTTGCTCCAAGTTAGAGTTTAATTCAGAACTGTAGCGGCCAATTAGCTGGTATATTAAGACCTCATCATGTTACAATTTTCAGTAAAGATTTTTTTCTTTCTTTAAATTTGTGTTCATGTCTTTCTTAGCTGTCTGTTTGATTTAATCTTCTGTAAGTACATCTTTTTAACCTATGGTATTGCAGACTTAAACTTAATTGTTGACTTCGGTTTTATGTGGAAATATCACATGATTACACTTACCCTTGTGTTATTGGATTTAACTTAAAAGTACGGTGTTTTTGGACAACACACCTTTAACTAGAAATTAGCTTTTTCTCATTGAATTTTCAATCAGATTTCATGGTGTACTAATGCATAGAGATCAGCAGTTGGAGACAAGAAGGAAAGGACCTTCAGAGAGGAGTGTTTTTGATGCATCATTGGTGGTATAAGTTTTAATGAAATGACAACTTTTCTAAAGCTTAAGAAATGGAATACTATTGGATGTGTTATGATAGAATATCAGCCCATTTATCCAAAATTTAATCACTTCCATTTCAATTTGAGATGTTTTTGGAATGAATACTTACATCTCAGATCCATGGACATTAGTTTTTCACTGATCATTTAAGGATGGTACTGGCTGTTCATAAGATCAGTGCAAATCTAATGAGAAGATTTTATAATATTGGGGAAGGAACTCTGAAAGTCTGCTTGACCAATGACAAACAATCGTTGTAAATCAAGCTTGGTAACATATTAGAACTAACACACATGTTGTCACATTCATTTTGAGATGAAAATACTTCCTCAAGTTGATGATGAAAATGAAAGTTTTATTTCACATTTATTATTTTTATCTGATAAAACATCAGATTGAAAGGGTAATATCCTAGAAAGCAATGTGTTCTGTTGTAGAAAGTTTTTTATGTAGAAAATACACAATATTAAAGCAGTATTATCAATACTAATATTAATTCTGCATGAATATCTAAATATTAAGTTAAAAATGCACTAGATTTCCCTCTTTCTATCTTCCTTTGCTCTTCCGTCCAGATTGTGGACTTGGCTGTGCTTGCCATTAACCTCCAAATTTTATCAGCTTGACTAAAAATGCATTACTCATATGTCGTATACAATGTGTGCAAGAAATTCTTTACTGTTGCATATCAAAAACCATTATCACAGTTTTTATGTTGCATTAAACACCAAAATCTGGGTGAAGAACAATTGGAGTGATGAATTTCATTTCTTCCTTGGGTGAAAGAAAGGTTCTGGATTTGATAGCAACTTGAAAAATGTGTTGATATGACTGCACCAACATAACCATGTTTATGGATATTTTAACTGGTTTGGAATTGGTCTGCTGATAATAGTTAATGAGGCCATGACTGCATAGATGTGTTTTGATATTCTGCACAGCTCATGGAGTTCTGTAGGGTAGGATCCTACCTCATTTATTATGAAAATGTATGTCATGCTATACCTTGTGTCCAGTAGTACAGATCTTTAAAATATACATTAACCAACATATAGCCCTGACCTGAATACAGTTGACCTGTTTTAACCAACATATAGCCCTGACCTGAATACAGTTGACATGTTTTAACCAACATATAGTCCTGACCTGAATACAGTTGACATGTTTTAACCAACATATAGTCCTGACCTGAATACAGTTGACCTGTTTTAACCAACATATAGCCCTGACCTGAATACAGTTGACCTGTTTTAACAAACATATAGCTCTGACCTGAATACAGTTGACATGTTTTAACCAACATATAGCCCTGACCTGAATACAGTTGACATGTTTTAACCAACATATAGTCCTGACCTGAATACAGTTGACCTGTTTTAACCAACATATAGCCCTGACCTGAATACAGTTGACCTGTTTTAACCAAACATATAGTCCTGACCTAAATACAGTTGAGCTGTTTTAACCAACATATAGCCCTGAGCTGAATACAGTTGACCTGTTTTAACCAACATATAGTCCTGACCTGAATACAGTTGACCTGTTTTAACCAACATATAGCTCTGACCTGAATACAGTTGACGTGTTTTAACCAACATATAGTCCTGACCTGAATACAGTTGACGTATTTTAACCAACATATAGCCATGATCTGAATACAGTTGACCTGTTTTAACCAACATATAGTCCTGACCTGAATACAGTTGGCCTGTTTTAACCAACATATAGCCCTGACCTGAATACAGTTGACGTGTTTTAACCAACATACAGCCCTGACCTGAATACAGTTGACGTGTTTTAACCAACATATAGCCATGACCTGAATACAGTTGACGTGTTTTGTTCAGCTGTTTTGTGATTTTGAAATACTTCCTGAGGGACAGAAGAGACAAGACACTAAAACATTATTATCTTTTGAACTATTTAGCAAGAGAAATGATGGTATTTTCCACCAGTTGTGTACTAACAATTAGTAACAGTTCTATTTGTGTTTATAATATCCAATCTGTAATTAAGGTCAGAGGTGAGTCCATTCAACAGCAAAACATACCATCACAAATTTTAAAGTATGCTGTTTTAATAGTTTGGTAATATGGTGTTTATCAGACTAACTTTATATTAAAGTCAAAGATCTTGCCAAGGACAACAGGTATAAGATAGCCATATACCTTGTAAAATTAAGGAACCTTTAGAGGTTATTTTTTAAGACTTAACAATGTTCAACATGGAATCTAACTGATTCTTAGGTCATATTACTATTGAACTAATCAATTATTTATATGGCTGTGACTCGGTTTACATAGTAAGTTATATTCAAAATATTCTATAAACATTTTAACATTTTAGAAAAGGATTTCTGTACAGGGTATATGCTTATGATATTTATATCATAGAAACAACATAGTTCATAAAATGAAATAAACTGTCTTTTCAAAAGTAGTTTGTGTTAATATGTATATATGTATTGATCATATCAGAAAAATATATATAAGTATAAGAATTCCTTAGATCAACTAGTCAGATAAAATTACTTGTACATTGTACAATGATTTCCATTTTTCACCTCATCAGTATTCCAGAGTTCGTTGAAAATGTTTGTTATATATTTTAGTGGCACAAAACGAGGGTAAATCTAAACAGTTAAATGTATGACTGTGTTCAAAAATATACAAATTGACACTAAAACAACAAATTTATTTTCTAATCCTTTTATACTTTTAAATTTGGTTAAACTATTGCTGTAGACAGTTTAAAATAATTCAAAGTATAGTCGTACTTTATTGATAAATAAAAAATGACTATAGAGTAAATTACAAGAAAATATATAAAACAGAGTAATAGCATTACTAATGTGACTTTTTCTAAGTATGACTTTGTTATTCTTTTGTATTGGGTGGATTATAACCATGTAGTCATTATATAGCTGTTTCTTGTTATAAATGATAAAAAGTAGTTGAAACTGAGTGAGAGATATTTTTTGTTTATATACTGGCAACTTCTCATTTGAAAATGTGTATATGTATGTTTGTCACATCAGTATTTTTCTTCATTCCAGAATTGGTACTTTCCTAGAAAGCAAATTTCAGTTTCTTCCCAAATTGAAGGCCCCTCACCAGAAAATACATTTGGTTTCAAAATCAGCTTTGGTAATGTTCCTGCAATTAGATCAGCACATGAGGTGAGGTGTATAAAGTTTCAATGTGTTTATTATATACCAAAGTAAAATCTTCTTAATTTTTTATTGTATTTATTCTTTTTTTTCCGTTTTCAAATCGTTTAACAGCCAGAAACAATGTGCACTTTCGACCACATGAATAGTTTTCTGTGATTAATTTAATCTACAATCTTCATATTTTTGAATTAAACTTTTCTTTACTTTTTTCTTAGTACAAATTTGAATCATGTTCCCCAAGTATGAACACATAAACAATATTTGTATGCAGTTTTATAAATACTAACTCATGGCTCCTTTTTGTTTTAAGTAATTTATCAGTAACATCCTTTATCATACTTTTTTTTCAACATTATAAATTCTTGTGGGAGTATGTGTATATTTCTGTGTAAACTCAAAAACAAATATAATAAACTTATAATAATATCTGAAATACTTGGTGATGATACAACATTTACTCTTCAGTTTCAGTACCTGACAGTTATGAGTGTAGAGGTACACGTACAAACCCGAGGAAGCTTATTTCCAGACCCATCTTATGATAGTGTTACTGCTGTGTTTTATTGTATGCACAATGATGTGCCTAGTGATTGGTCAGTGCCAAAAGAACAAGTCGGAGTTATTATTGTGCAGTCTGATAAAGAGTGTAATGAAGAACAAGTTGACAAACATTATGTTTCAAGAAATTCTGGACTTGATTTGGAAGTATGTACTTTAGATAAAAAACTAACTGAAGATAACAAAACATGTGTTACTGGATTAACAAATGAATCACCAGTAACTCTTCTGGAAGAAGCTGATGCGTGTTCAAAACTGAGTGGAGAAAGGAATATTAACTCCTTGAAGAAACATTTACTGACAAAATGTGGTCTTCCTGGTATTATGGTAACGTACGTGAAAAATGAAATTGCTCTTTTCCAGCAATTTACTCACCTTGTTCACAGGTGAGATTTATATTCATAACTTGTATCTTCTGTTGTTATATACCCTGTTCACAGGTGAGATTTATATCCATAACTTGTATCCTGTTGTTATATACCCTGTTCACAGGTGAGATTTATATCCATAACTTGTATCTTCTGTTGTTACTCACCTTGTTCAAAGGTGAGATTTATATCCATAACTTGTATCTTCTGTTGTTTTCTTGATTTTATTCTCAAATTGAATTAAAGCTATAAAATCTGAACACAAATGTTGTAGCTATTGTAGCTTGTTTTAAGAAGTTTAATTGTTTTTCTTCTTATATATGATAAATTCATAAATCATCATTTTCTATAAAAACTATGAGTAGTTTGTAGATAAGAATTTCTAGAGAGAAAATGTAATTAGATAATTATTAATAATACTCTCCACTCGAGTTTGAATGTTATCCATCAAATATATAGCCATTTTGTATGATTGCTTTCTCGTTCGATTTTCAGTTGGCCACTAAACCATTTTTGTATGCTGATCCTGAGATAGTAGATATGTACATAAACAGATGTTAAGAAATTTAATCTTTTTGAGCAAGTTATTCCCTCCCACACCCTCTAAATTTATGTATTTCTAATTAGTTATGCAGTTTAGTTAACATTTTACTAAATTGTCTGATAAAGTTACTCATTCCTTGGAGTTGAGAATGGATGGTATGGTTTTTGTAATGTATTTTTGTAGTTACAAATTTTAACCCTTAGATACCTACTCTATACATAATATAGCTACATACTATTTAGTCTGTTTATACCTAAAGGCACCATTACCAAAGTCCTACTGTTTTTTTTTCTTCTTATTTGTTTCTAGTCATTTGTAAAAATCAAGTTTATTATCAAGAGGAGTTGTCAAAGTAACAGACAACTTAAAGATTGTTAAAGTGGCAAGTTCATTTCTGGTCAGATGTAATGTCCAAAGTTACTCCAAGGTTCATGGGCAAGAGTAACAGTGTTTTCTACTTGTATTTAAGGTGTGAAAATTGGTCAGACTACCTAGGTCCTAAAATGACTAAAATCAATTATCAGGACCATTCAGAGCTCAGTTATTATACTGCTTCTTTGTTTATAATTCAAGTTATGCAAATAAAACTTAGAGACAAAATGATTCAGGAAGGTATGTTTATGCAGAGGTTACATGAATATTTTGTTTACCAATATGTTCTTCCAAGTGAAGATAAAAAATAATCAGTGTATGTTTAAGCTGAATAAATTCTCTCAGAGATTTAAAAGATATTAAAATAAAAAACACTGTAATAATTCTATGAAAAGTTGTCACTTACTAATGCAGGTTTGAAATACCACTCTGTTGCTTTCATGTGAAACTAATATAGTCTGTATATTCTCTCTCTCTTTAGTTGGGATCCAGACATTCTAGTAGGTTATGAAGTTCAGATGTTATCATGGGGTTTCCTGCTGGAACGAGCTACGCACCTGAAATATAACCTATGTTCACTAATATCTCGTGTTCCAACTAGCAAGGGTAGCCATTTCTCTACTGATAGGGATGAATATGGAGCAGATCACATGTCTGAAATTCATCTAGAAGGGCGCGTGATTTTAAACTTGTGGAGATTGATAAGAAAAGAAGTAAGTTTTGTAATTAAGAAGTTCCTTTTAACCTTTTGTGCATGGGTTAGAGTCAAGGTGCATATGCCACAACCATTCACAGAGTACCATTCAACATGTTATTGTGTATTTGATGTCAGCTGTTCATTCTACCTTACATTTCTGGTTTAGTTCTTGGTAAAGAAGAGTAAATATCAGATACAGTATACAGGGATATTGAAAAAAACTGTAAATATGCATTTTGGAGGCTCTAGAGCTTATGTATGATGGACAAAGGTATTTTATTCTTAGATTTATGTAAAATGTACAAGTCTGTTGTACACACAAAACCAAATGTGTTATAAAAATACTTGCACTCAAGACAAGTCTGTGAATTAATTATGACAGTGTGGTTTAGACTTTGACAAGTTAGTGTGTAAGATGATATTTGTGTGAGATTTATGTAAAATGTACAAGTCTGTTGTACACACAAAACCAAATGTGTTATAAAAATACTTGCACTCAAGACAAGTCTGTGAATTAATTATGACAGTGTGGTTTAGACTTTGACAAGTTAGTGTGTAAGATGATATTTGTGTGTGCCACATTTCATGTACATACACATAGTATATTCAGAAGTATAGTCTTCATTCCTCCATATTCAGTTAATGAGTCTAATAATATTTTCTAGACCTGCTAGTTTAGTGTTGGCACAATTTTATTATTGACTAAATCTGTCACTACTGGCTTGTGTGGGAAGTATCTGGTTGTAACATTTTTGAGTAAATATATTTCTTTATAATGTTATAATTAATATCAATTACATATGGAACTAAATATTTATTTATTTTTTGATAATTATGTTAATTATTATACAGAACTAATTTATTGTGATTACTATTATGTTCAGTGTTGGGCATGTTACTAGACAAAAGTAATGACGTTACTTTGGCTGTTACCTGCTAAAAATGGTAGTGTTGTTACCAAAAATGTTACTTATTTAATGAGTAACGATTCATTACTTGTTATTTTTCAAACAGATACCTGCATTCTGTGTATAAAACATGCACTGTGTACATCGTATATTATATGTACAGAACTGAACTACAAGCATTGAACTCAAGACAAAAAATGTATTATACATTGAGAGGTTTAGAATAGCAATTAAAGGAGCTACTTATATTTTTCCATTATAATATTCAAAGTAAGAGTGACAAATGACTTACCCAATACAAGAAAAAGGAATACAAATGACTAAAGTAACTAATAAGTAGCCTATCAATTAGTGTGAAATATACACCTGGAAAAAAGTTAAGCACCCCCGTGTTTTTTTCAAGCGATTCAGATTCGACGTTCTTGTGACTGATTATAAATTACCATTCAATCTAAACG